AGTCATTGTCTGTGAGAGCTATGATGAATCCAGTTTGAGGAATCTGAAAATTTTGGTGGACAAGTTTCAACAGGCCTCCAAACTAAAAGTAAATTGGGGGAAAAGTTGTGTAGCTGGAATAAACATAGGGGAGGGGGACATCCAAGCCATGGCAAATTAGCTAGGCTGTGAAGTGAAAAGCTGGCCTTTAGAATACCTAGGTATGCCCTTGGGTGTGGCAATAAAGTTTTATTCTGGGAAGACTGGGTTGGGAATTTGCCTTTTAAGGATAAATTTCCAGACCTCTACTCTTTATTAAACCTTAAAAACAAACCTGTTGCTAGGGTTGGCATACTTTCAGACTTGGGTATCTCTTGGGACTTTGGCTTTAGAAGGGGGCTAAGGGAAAATGAATGTGAGTCCCTATTGCTTTTGCTATCAACCCTTGAGAAGGTCTATTTAGATCAAACTACAGCTGATAGTAGAGTATGACCCCCAACTCTTGATGGTTTATTTTCTTGTGCCTCTTTCTTTGGTTTGCTCACCCATTCTGATCCTTTGGGGGTGAACTTTCCAGTGAGAGAAATTTGGTGTAAACCGATCCCTCCTAAAGTGCAAGCCTTTTGTTGGGAAGTGTTCCTAGGGAAGGTTAACACTTGTGATGTGCTACAGAAAAGAAGGCCAAATAAATGCCTCTCTCCTTATGTGTGTGTCCTCTGTATGGATTGTGGTGAAACCCTACCCCACTTACTCTTATCTTGTTCTTTTGTTTCTTATATTTGGGAATTTGTTTGTTCTCTCTTTGGATGTAGATGGGCTCCCCCACAAGATGTGGTAAGTCTATTCAGCCCCTCCTTCCTGAGGCAACAGAAGAAAAGAGGAAAGTGCTTATGGAAGGCAGCAAGAGCTTCTGTGGTTTGGACTATATGGGAGGAAAGAAACCAAAGACTCTTCTATGAAAAAAGTAAATCAATGGAGGAAGTCATTGAAACCACAAAAATCAGAACTGCACATTGGGTGATGACCATGGATCTATTTAAAAACTTCTCCATGAATGAGATTCTAAGAAGCTGGACTGAAGTAGCACAGACAGATGTACCCAAAGAAGTTGTGAGAGCAGAGTGGAAGCCACCTGCACTGAGCAAACTAAAACTAAACTTTGATGGGAGTTCCTTCGGCAACCCGGGAAGGGCAGGTATAGGGGGTGTTATTAGAAATCATCTAGGTGAAGTTGCGGCACTCTTCTCAGGACCAATAGGTATTGGTGACTCAATACAGGCTGAATCTTTGGCTCTACTTCAAGGTTTAAAGATGGCTGAGCAGATTGGTACAACAGATTTAGAAATAGAAGGAGACTCACTGCTGGTCATTTCTTGGGCTAAAAACATTACATCAACACCTTGGAAGCTCAAATTTATATACAGAGAATTTGACATAAATGCAAGGAGGTTCAACACTCAGTTTGGTTGGGTCAAAAGGACTGCAAATGGGTTGGTAGACACCCTAGCAAAACAGGGGGAAAATAGATCTACCTTGTATTGGGCAGAACTGTAAATGCTTTGTAGTGTTTGCAGATTGGGTTAATGCTTTCTGCAACCTATAACTATTGTATTTCAATATTTCTCTGTTTTAATAAAATCTTTTTGGTGATCAAAAAAGAAAAAAACAAGATTCACCATCCGATTTACATAGAGTGCACCAATTCAGGGAAATACACAGAAACAACCTCTTCTTTTGCATGTAATCCAGAGTGTTAGCTTTCCCATAAGCCACTTCCCAGCAAAAAAAAAGCCTTAATTTTTGGGGGAATCGCTTGACACCAAACTTCCTTAGTAGGAAAGAGAAGAGGGATAGGGGATTGGCAAAAAAAACTAAAACACCGGAAAAGAGACCTTTAGGACTTGGACACCAAAACCTTATGTCTAGTTTTGGAGGCTCTAAGTAGACTCTTTCAAGAAGCAACAACTCTGACAGACAAGTGACTTCTTCCCTCAATCCCCTTTGAAACCCTAAATCCCAATTATGGCCCAGAGGCAAAATAGGAGGTGCGAGAAAAATTGAGATGCTCTCATTTTTATACAAGGAGATGGAATACAAAGAAGGAAACAAATACTTTAGAGGCTGGTCCCCCAACCTGATATCTTCCCAAAGCAAATTAAGTTGCCTGAACAAGCATCATACTTGATAAACTTGAGGAAATGAGGAAGAATGCTGTGAATTGCTTTCCAAGGTGCTGCCAAAGTAGCCCGAAGTGATACACCAGCATCTCAACCATTCTCCAATCTCCCATGGATACTACCCACCACCTTATGCCATAAGCTATCCCTCTCTAAAGGCCATCTCCATAACCACTTCCCCAATAGATCCACATTCTTCTCTCACGTTCCCAATTGCTAAGCCATCCTCTTTCTTGCTTTTTTACATGCATTCTCCCATTTAACTAGGTGATCTTTTTTGGACTCTCCCGGCTCCCAAAGAAAATCCCTCATGATTTTTTCTAACTTCTTTGCTTCCCTTGGTGGAATCCTATACATAGAGAGGAAGTAGATTGGTAGGTTAGCCAAAGTTGATCTTATTATAGTGATCCTACCTTCCAACAAAATATAGTTCATTTTCCAAGTTGCCAATCTCTTCCCACATCTTCGGATGATTCTGGTGTGGTTTGAGGTGATTTCAGGACTACGGCTGAATTTCCAGAAAAGTGAAATTTTCTCAGTTGGAGAGGTCAACAGCATCCAGGAACTTGCTGTGGAGCTCAGTTGTAAAGTGGGAAAGCTCCCTTTCAGGTTCCTGGGCCTTCCAGTTGGAGCAAAATGCCACTCCAAGTCCATTTGGGACTCAGTGATTGAAAGACTAGAGAAGAAGTTGGGGGGTTGGAAGTCCAGATATTTGTCCAAGGGAGCTAAGACTACTTTCTTGAAAAGTGTCCTAGCTAATCTACCTATTCACTTTTTATCATTGTTTCCAATCCCAGCACAGGTGGCTGAAAGGCTGGAAAAATTAGAAAGGAATTTCCTCTGGTGTGGGAAGAATGGTGAGCAGAAGATTCACCAGGTTAAGTGGGAAACCATTTGCAAATCTGTTTCGGAAGGGGGTTTAGGTGTGAGAAGCTTGAGGCAGGTGAATACTGCTCTCTTAGGTAGATGGCTTTGGTTCTTCAATTCTAACCCCCGATCTCTTTGGAGGCGACTAATTGTGAAAAAGTTTGAAACTAGAAACTATTGATGGGATCCTGGGCCTGCACCCACTTCTGCTGGCTGCTCTGTTTGGAAAGGAATTGAAAAGGCTTATCCTCATTTTGTCCAAGGGGTAAGGCTAAAACTAGGGGATGGCAACAGGATTAGGTTCTGGCGAGACACTTGGTGCAATAGTTCTTCTCTAGTGGAGACTTTCCCTTCACTATTCCTTATAGCAGAAAATAGGGATGTGATGGTGGCAAATCAGTTTGAGTGGTGTGGAAATTCAGGATACTGGTGTCCAATTTTTAGGAGGCATCTCAATGACTGGGAAGTCTCAGATCTGCTAGAGCTGCTCCAACTAATTCAGGATTATCAACTGAATCCAATTCAGCAAGATTCCAGAATTTGGAAGTGGGCTAGGGATGGGAGGTGAAATTCTTTTATTTGAAGCTGAATGCTGGTTCATCTCAGGCTTTTCCATGGAAAGAGACTTGGCTCCCTCACATTCCTACTAAAGTCTCCTTGATCTGGACAGCAGTTCATGGTAAATGTCTTTCTAAGGAGCAGTTGAACAGGAGGGGTCTGGTGCTGCACTCCATAAGATGTGTGATGTGCAGTGAGGAAGATGAATCTGTGGATCACTTATTTATTCATTGTAAGGCTGCTCATTTGCTGTTCAGCCATTTCTGCTCCCTGTTAAATGTCAGGTGGTGCTTTCCCAAACCTCTAGCTGACTTGCTTTTCCCTTGGAAGTTGACGGGCTTAAGCAACAGGGATAAGGTGCTGTGGTGTGTTGGGTCCTGTGGAAAGAAAGAAATAGTAGGATTTTTGAAGGTCAAAGGTGTTTGGTGCTCCTTGGATGAGTTGGTGGTTCGGGCAATGGCTACTATACATTCCTGGCTGTCAGCCAAGGACTCTTTTAAGCATATCCCTCATCATCAGTATTTTGATCTGGGTTTTTTGTTTACTTGATTTAGTTGGGTGTCTCTTGTATTTATTCTGGAGAGACCAGTTTTTCGTTGGCTTTTCTGTATAGTTACTGGCTGTACATGGAGCGTTATGTGGACCAACAGCTGTTATGTTTACAGTTGTACTCATTAATACAATTACCTTACTTTTTCTCAAAAAAAAAAATTTCTTCCCACATCTTTCTACAATTGGGTTCCAGAATATACTTTCCTTAGGGTTGGTGCCTAAAGGAAGACCTAAATAAATCAACGGCCATGGGGTGATGGGACACTCTAAGCAATCCGCTACCAAGTTTAAATCATCATCCTCCATGTTAACCCCTGCTATAGACGTCTTAATTTTTTGTGGACATAAAATAGGCAATTACGCAATGTTGGTCCCACTTATCTCGGTATTGAGAAGGGTGGACTGGATATGGTCCTAACCTTCGGCATTTTTTGCACAAAGTAGTCACTCTCAGACTCAAACCCATTTTCTCACGCTTGCCAGCCTAAGATTTTATCTTTACACCAAGTAATGGCCCTTCTTAAGCTTTTCATAGAGATATACTACATTAGTCATTATTATTAGGTGCAAAAATTGGAAAAATGATCATGTATGTTGGATTTGAAAATTTGTTTCCTTTATTTCTTTTTTGATCTGTAATCATTTTATGGGAAAATTTATGCTTTCGACAAGCAAGATCCATGTCTAATCCAATATCCATCTGATCATTACATGCACTTTCTCAATACAGTAAGCAACACTTAATGTTTGGCTTTAACTTTGTGATCTATCCTTATTTTTGAGAAAGCGATGATTTGTGTCAATAACCTTAAGTCACAATTTTCTAAAAGACCTGAAAATTGGCAACTGATCCTATGCCATTTGCAGCAAGTGAACCTACCACAAACACCAGCCATAGCCAAGGTAATCAGGTAGCTCATAGTGTGGTACTTGGGACCTTCAATATTGCTGATCAAGGGGATGGAGTTCTTCCAGATATCAATCGGGTAAGATCTAAGATGATAATTCCAAATGGAACTGAAGAAATCTTTGTTTATCTTAATGAAATCAATCCACTTTATTGACACTTCTGTTTATTTATTTGTTCTGAATGAGCAGATTGTTTCAGCAGTCCTTGGTTCTATTTTCACCAATATAGGGAGTGGCAGTGAAGGGGCTAACCATAGGGTAATTTTCAACTAGCACTAAACCAACTCTTGTACTGTCTCCAATAGATTTGATTTGAAAATTATTACAGCAATGCTGTTTTTATGGAGACAACCACCTATTGTAGTTTTTCCCCTTATATAAATGAATGGTGTAGTTTTCCAAGAATTACTGTTTGATCCACATATTTTTGGATCCTCTCAGGACTTGAATTTTAGCTTAGTTGATATAATTGTTTATAAAACCACTCCGGACTGGGTGGTTGGACTGGTTAAACCATGACCCAACCCTCTGGCTGGTTTGGCCATACATTAAAAAATGTAGTTCATGAAAAACCAGCTGACCAGACAGTTTAACCAGAAAACCAGTGAACTTGTCCCGGTTTTATGAAACTGCCTGGGTCCATTACTTGAATGGAAACTCATATTTTGAAGAAAATATTGTGCATATTGTCTTTTTACCATTAATCCATTTCTTCGTTTGCATTTATTTGTGCCTCTTTAATGTATTTATTGCTTTAATATACACATATTTTAAAGAAAATGTGGGTTAAGAGACTTGAACCCTGGTCATTTATTTTAAAATTTTAAAAACAAGCCATCAATCCACCACATGCAAGTATAATAATATTTGTGAAATATATGATACGTAGTATTTATATGACCTGTAAAATATATATGTATATGCCATGTCATCACGGTTTGACCTCTGGTTTAACTGCAGTTGAACCTCTCCCTTTTCCAGTTCTATGTCTGTTCTCTGAACATTGGTTGATATATGTTGGGAAAAATATCTTTAGCCAAAAGAAGTTTGTAGTTGATTTTGCATTACAAATGCTCAAATTTAATCTTTCTTTGGCAGGAACCTGCTTCTGAGAGGCTTGAGAGAACATCTGGTGCTAGTGTTCCATCAGATTCAGTGCGAAGTCAACCTGGTCAGCCCACTGCAGGGGTTCAATCTGATCCACTGCATGGTGCTTTCCGGCTTCCAACCCCAGCTTCTTTGGGACCTCTGCAGGCACCTGTAAGTTCCAGGCCTTTTTGCTTTATATAATCTTGTAATCTTCTCCCTTGCTTTTACTTGTTCTGTTTTGTGTTTGGGGTGTTCTTTGTGCATGATATATCCTTGCCAAAGATTTGAACCCATACCTCTGCCTTTGTAGGTTATTCCTGATTCTTTAGCAACTCTTTCCCAGTACATAAATCGTATGAGGCATGAATTCCGTGTCATTGGTGGGTATTCTTTTCCATTATTGGATCCCTAGACCTTTCACTTGTTCTAAGTTCTTTGCACATAGAGGTGGTTGAGAATGTGTACTAATTGCAGCAAGGAGCCACAGCAGCAACAGTCAACCTGCTAGCACCCCTGGCAATGAAGGAAGGGATTACGATTCTGCCTCGCGCTCAAATGAAGGGCAAGCAGGGCTGCCTACACCAGCATCACTGGCGGAAGTAATACTGTCTACAAGACAGATGCTCATTGACCAAGCCGGAGAGTGCCTATATGTATGTACTTGGACTGGTTTCTATATGTATTCTTGGAGCTTCTTATTTATTTATTTATTTTTTAATTTGTGATGTTTGAGAACCAATCTGCCTACTTTCTATTTTCTAATTTTGTTATAGGTACTGACACACTGCCTCCTGTGAAATAGTGAATGAGTAGATGATTTGTAGGGTTCTATTAATAGTTCACATGAATCTAGTTGCAGTTACCCTCTCAAGTTCTATAAACATTGACAGCTATAGTTTAGGATGGAGACATGAGCTCCTTACAGATCCTCCTGTTTCCAATTTACTTCTGCCTTTCCTTTCTGTTTGTTACCATTCAAGTCTACTTCTGCTGTAACACAATCTCTGGCGTCATCTTATATTTTCCAGCAACTTACAAGACAACTGGAGGATCAAGGAAATATTACTGATCCACTGATGCGGATGACCATTCAGTCTAATGCAATGAGGTCAGGAGTCTTTTTGCAAAATTTAGGTGCTCTGTTACTTGAGCTTGGTCGGGCAACCATGATGCTGAGAATGGGCCGTACACCGGTAAGTCTTTTTTTAATTGTTAATGTATTCTGCTGTATTCTCCAGAAATAAATGGAAAATTTATACAAAACCTAGTAACATGAGTCAAATTTTTTACACAAGTCCGAGGCAGTTGTTAATGCAGGACCTTCAGTTTTCATATCAAATTCCGGACCCAATCCTATAATGGTGCAGGTTAGTCTTAACCCCTCAAAACTTTTGTTCCTTATAGCTAACACATTTCTTCCTCCGAAACTAATTAGGTTTTACTTGAACAGCCTCTTCCTTTTCAACCAGGAACAAGTTTTGGTGCAGTTCCCATTGGAGCTGTACATCCTGGCTCTAGTTTGGTTGGTGGTACACTTGGTTCTGGTTTTATTCCGAGGAATATTGACATTCGAATACGTACAGGTACCATTTTTTTATGCCTAAAGTTTTGTTGATAAGTTAATTTTGGGTGTGCTCAAGTCTTCTAATTATTAATGTCCATTTTAGCAACTGGATCTTCAGTTCCCACAGCTAATGTTAATCAAGGGGAGCAGGCTGGTGTACGACAACCTTCGGGTCCAACAAATTCAGTGAGACCTTCTGGCTCAGCTTCAGGGGCCTCAGGTAGTCCATCCTTTGCTGGAGAGTCTGGAGTAAGGGTGGTACCAATTAGGACAGTGGTTGCAGCAGTTCCAGCTCCAGTCAATCGCCCAGCTTCTGATTCATCTGGTAGTTCCATAGGGTTATTCTATCCACTTCTTGCTAGGGTTCAACATGTAACTTCTGGGCATTTCAATAGTACAAGAGATTCTCAAGTGTCTGGTGACCGCCCTCCTAGTGTTCCTGAAACTGTGCGACACCCAATCCCTGAATCTGTAGTTCAAAACCAAAATATAAGCTTACATATAGGTACTTCAAGAGATGCTGATTCAGCAAATGTGGTGGTTCAAAATCAGCAAGGTAGGGTATTGAGGTTTTCATTTCATTTTGCAATTTAAATGGTACTTGCATTCTGTTTTTCATTTTTTTGCCATTTTGATTGCATGTTTTGAATCTGGTTAGATGCCTAAACTGTATATTCTAAAGTTCATAGCAGTCAATTTTTCCATCTAGTTCAAATGCAAGCATGCTACATTTACACTTCTTTTCCAAGCATCTACTGAATCTAAGGCTTTTTCCTTTCAATGTTCCTCGACTCTATTAGACTTGGAAGTTATATTCTCTTGAATAAGCATCACCTTCAGTTGTCTAAATGGCTTAATATCCATTCCTACTTTTTTCTGCAACAGGGGTCTCATTTTTAGGTTATTGCTTCTAGGAAATGGCTTAACCTGTTAGCCAACCCATTCCCTTGTAGCAAATTAGCAATGTAGTGCATCACTCCCATGGAAATGTGCTAGCATGAGACTGAAATATCTAGACAGGATTCATAAGAAGATTTTGCGAAAACATTTATTTTTCTGTCTATTTTGCATGCCACTTCTTCATCCATTTGTGGCACTGTAGAGCCTAGCCAAAAACAAAAGAGAAAATCTCAGGCTTGCACACATAATTTCATTGTATTTGCTGAATGTTTTAAGGTGCCTAGAAGTTCTCATTAATTAAACTATACGAGAGATCTTTTATGATATTGAATACTAAAACTGTCAAAATCATGATGCTGTGTTGTTCATGGTGCAGTTTCATCTTTCTTTGTACATGCCTCGTGTTATGGAAGCTGGCAATTGATTCTAATTCCTAGGGCTTGTATTTTGATTTATTTAACCTTTTTGCTGTTAGTTATTTGTTACATATGCACTTGTCTTCTGGACCTGATTGCCCAAATTTACATGTTTTCTTCAGGATCATTACCAACTTCCAGTTCAAGACAATCACAGCCATCTGATTCTAATAATAATAATAATAATAATAATAATAATAATCTCTCAAGTGGTAGGATCCAAAATGGTCAAGAGTCTGCAGCACATATTTCCAATAGATTTGATCAACTGTTAAGGACCATTTTCCCTGGTGAGCAAATCAGTGTTGGTGAAGCCAACTTCCCAGGCATGAGTACTGGCTCTGCTACAGAGCATGTAGGGACAGCTGGAAGTACTGCTAATGCAAGAGAGGCAACATCGAGAGTGGAATCTGATGATGGGATCTTCTTATCTAATTTGCTTCGCCAAGTCATGCCTGTGATATCCCAAGTCACAGCCATAGAGCAAAATGCTCCATTGCCAGAAGGAGTAGGTGCTTCTGAGCATAGAACTGCACATGATTCTTCAACACAAGTAAGTGCATATTATTGAAGAGGGTCCTGAGGGAGAGAGTAAAAAAAAGGGAAAAAAACTAAAAACCTGCTTTTTTTGAGAGAGAGAGGGTAATGTCTATTGTATTAGTTGTGTAAACGGATAGCTGGACATGAGAAACATTTTTTTTAATAAATGACACAAACATGAAGAATAAAAGTAAAAAAGAAAAAAGGCTTCCAGTTTCATTGATGGTATCAGGAAAATGGTGCCACCTTTACTAGGGAAAAGAAAGGGAGGTGGGAAGAGGGGATGGGTGTTCTTGTTTTGCTCATTATTATAATATGTCTTCTTTATATCACCAATTTTATTCTCATTAAAAGATTCCATGTGTGTAGACCACAGAGAGCTCTAATTCTGGGACCACACGTAGGTGCAGTGACAACCTGCCAACCCCTCCAGATTCAAAACGTCAGAAGGTTTGTTTTCATCTCTCTCTCTCTCTCTCTCTCTAACATCTATCTATCTAGGTCTTGAGTATGATTCAAGCTTCTTGTATAAAATGATATAGACCATACTTTTAAATTGGAACCAACAAACTTGTTGGGAACATGATGCTGATTGCCTCTAAACCCTGGTCCCTATTAGCGTTAGAACAACTAAGATACCTAAATATAAGATATTTAAATGGTAAACTATACATTTAACTATTTCAGAAAAGTTTTTTTGGACATTTAAGGTCCTTAAAAGATACAACTTGTGGTTTGGTTTACCGTCCTTTACATGGCACAATTGAGGGAGTGTTCTCTAATGTGAATTGTTTTCCTTGTGAGTTCCAAAAACAAATCTAAGCTGTCTGGTTTGAAAACAAATTGGTTCCTAAAACTAAAACATAGAAAACATGTTCATAGTTGTGTATATGTTTTTTGTTTCTAAAATTCAGACAAAAAATTTGCTTTTGAATTTGTGGTTTAAAGAACATGTTTTCATCTGGTGTTTGATATCATGTTTCATAGATCATATGATATTTGTACTCCAAAATTTGTTTTTATTTTGGATACCATTCTTTTGATGGTAAAAACATGGATTTTTTTTTTTGAAACAAAAACTGATTTGTTTTTTTTCTTCTGAAAACAAAAACATAATTCAAGAAAGTGTTACAAGTTTTTTTTGCTGATGTGGCGATTTTAAAAACAAATAAAAAACATTCATGAACGCTCCCCAAGTGGGAGACCCACCATTTTAAGGATGCTATTTATTATCTAGATCTTAGGAAATAGGATACATGACTATGACATTGTTTAGTAATTCATAGGAAGATCCAAAAGAATGTATAACAGGTTTACAAGAGATTTTGATATAGGCTTTATGGAAAGGTGATAGTGACTTGTCAAATGGTGCATTCTACTTGCCTATACCTTTATTGTTTACAAGAGTGGACATAGTAGACATTCCCTAGTGTCTTACATTTATCCCATGCAAATCAAAGTGTTATAAACTATAAGTTTCTTACAATAAAAGAGGCAGAGGAGGGAAAAGAGAAGAAATATATTAAGATAAGTCACTGATAATTACTTGTGCTCATGTTCATTTTTTGCTTTAGTTATAATCATCAAAATTGTTCAAAGGACATTAATAATTGATGTTAAAAAAGGAGGGGGTTAAAAGGATCAACTAGCATGGAGTGGGGGGCACTAGGCCTGTGGGTCAATATGCAAAATTGTGATGTATTATTCATTGTGGTTCTGAATATCAGCTTTGGCCGTTGTATTGGTTAATGATAAAAGCCTGAACAAACTAAAGAAGAAGGAAAAATTGTCTGTTGACCAATCCACTACAATTATAGCACTTGATCTTGGATTACCCACAAATTACTAGAATTATAGTTTCAATTAAAAAGAACTATTTAGAATTCTTTTTATGTATTAGGTCTAACTAGTTCTTGTTTCCAAAATGGATGTCCATTGGAAGTTGAATTACTGTATAGGTTTTTGAAGCTTGGTATTGTTGTTGCAGAGGGAGTGAGAATAGTCTGTCCTGAGGTTTACTTCTTCGGTTGATCTACCAACTGTATAGATGGATGCTGATTCTGGTTACAAGATTTGATGCTCTCATCGTACAGGTAATTAGAGGCATGACTTGTTTCTCCCTTCATGGTTGTCACAGCGGTAGGATGTATATCTTGAGCATAGTCTTTATTTCTTTACTGCGGGCAACATGTGAAAATAATGTGATACTCGGTAACATGGGCCTTATCTTGAAATTTATTCAATTTATATAAATACCATTTTATGACACTCACATTCAATTCCATCTGTAAAAGCCTGTGAGCGTATGCTTTAGTCTTTATTTTTGGTTCTTTCTCTCTACACAGCTCAACGAGTGATCGTGTATTTCAGATGTTATACCTCTCATCCATAGGAAAAGTTGATTTGAGTCTCTGCCTGTGCCGCATAGGTCCTTTTGGGTCTCCGTCATTTACTTTTATTTATTTTTGTTTTGTTGTAAGCACAAAGAGCTACAAGTGACGGCACCTAGCTCCATCAGTTGTAAAATGATTATTTTGTCCGGGTTGAGGGAACCTCGCCCTTTTTCACTTATGAAATAAAATTAATCTATCCGGCTGGTCTGCCCCCAATTGATTTCCCACGATTAGCGTTGTGTTCTGTCTCTGGGATATGTTTTAGTGATTCTCTTTCGATCAGTATAGCTAGGCCAATAAGCTAATCAGCTGTGCTTGGGCTGTCGGATATTTAAGGTATATTGCCATTCATATGGACCACATGGGATTGATTCTCACTACCTGGACTGAATTCTTTTATACATTTTAAATAAGATTCGGAGATGTAATTGAATAAGAATTAATTAAAGAAATAGGCATTAAATGCATTATTTGAATTTAAATAGGGAAGTCAGCATTACATAAGTGCAATTTAAATGTCTTAAATGGGATGGGGGGATGCAATAAGGAAACAGCGGGATTGTATCAGTCCATATTAGTCAATATAAATCAGTAGTGGGTGTAGAGTCGATAATGTGGATATTGTCGGTCGGTTCCAATTCAGATGAGTTTGTTGGTCCATATGGGCTGAACATGCAACAGAGATTCAAAGTATCATCAAGGCAATTTCAATAGATGTATGGGGATAAAGCGTGGATGAGCAGAATGCTGGACACACACCAGATGTAATATTTTCTGTTTTATGAATTAATATATGATGTTATGTATATGCTTACAAAAAATGATTAAAATGAGTTTTATATTCTTTATAGAACTCCATAATTGGCATTGTTTTTGGTAAATAATAATCTTACCATTTACATCAAAGCAATTAGGTTTTGGATCTTCTTCAAACAAGCCTCTCAACAGGACACTATTAACCATCCATCGGGGCATTACCATAATACCATTTACATCAAGGGAGATGTTCCTGATGGGCAGCTGTAGTGGTTTGTTGGAGCATATCCGGCTTCAACAAATTGAGAGGAATGGAAGTAGAAATTTTTCCATCTATTATACAGGGAAGCAAATGCAGCCTACGCCAAAATATAAGTGTAAGAAACAATTTTTTTTTTTTTTTTTGGTATCAATTTCACAATGTTCATATGCTTTAGTTACTTCCAACAAAAGAGGTGGAAGGTATTTGCACTGTACATATTTGTAGAGTGAGTACAAATACTTCACTTAGGCTCAGTTTGGAGTGAGTACAAATACAAATTTGTAGAGTGCAAAACCTTATATTTTGCATTATTTTATATGTATTTGCACTGTACATATTTGTATTTGTACTCCTTCCAAATGGAGCCTTAGGAAAAATTTAATTGAAAAAAATCATTAAAAGGAAAAATAATGGAGAAGGAAGTAAAGCAATCTAAGTAAATAGCTTGTCCCTAGAGAATATGAGCGAAACAAACAAGAGAGTTATTACAACCTAGAAGAATCCTATAGATCATCTAACAACTTTCTCTCCCATTCATATATGATATATCTAATGTGGAGTAATGACTGCCTATAAGGTTGTAGAGAACCCTTCCTTCCCAATTGATGTATATTGTGTCCCACTTAGTGTCTCCTTTCCAACTTGTGTACTACGTCCATTATTTGGTGGTATAAAATCTTTCAGTACAATCAAGTTGTTATCATCCTCTTCGATATTCTTTATGTTAGGGAATAAAAACCTATTCCTAGCTTAAATGCTTAAGCTTTTAAATTTCATGGATCCTTGATATGGTATTAAAGACTCTTTGATCCCTAGTGTTCAATCATCATTGCCCCCATTATGATTAATTAAATTTCGGCACTAGGTATATATGATGGTATGGGGGTCATGCTTGTTCACGCTTCTACCTCGGTGGGCTTTTGCATAAGGGGGCATGTCAGGGAATCAAAACCTATTCAATGACCTAACTTAACAGTTTAAGCTTTTAAGTTGAATGGTTCCATGACACTTTGACGATGCTTAGTTGTTTAGCATTGATTCAACATTTTTATGGACACACAATGGAAAGAAAGTTAAATTTTCTCATGCTCATTTTTCTTTTGCATTTTGGAATGTTTTCTTCCATTGTTTTATTTTTTAATCAGTAACATTTTGGACAGGCTGGGCTGGGCCAAGCTTAGGGCCAACACCTTAAATGTGAAACCTGGTAAATGAGTTGAATGGGTTATTGATCAAGTCAATGTATGATACCACAACTAGGGTGTCAATGGATCGGTTTTGGAGTGGACCCGTCCAATCCAAAATCAATCTGGATGGATTGGATGAACCAACAAGACATATTGAATTGGACCAGTCCAGACTTAATGGTCCAAAGTATTTATTGTATTGGATTAGACCTGGTCCATTTGCGATGAATTTATTGGATTTAGTGTTTTAAAAGAGCAAGGCAGGGGTCAATTTGCACTTGAGGCGTAAGGTGCAAGGCGAGGCTTGTGCCTTTTTGAAGCAAGGCGCAAAAATACAAAAAAAAATGTCAGAAAATTCAAAAGAAATGTCAAAAAATTCAAAAAATATAAAAAATATAAACTTAAATTTTAAAATAATGTATTAAAAAACCTATTATCTAAAATTAAAATACATAAGCATAAGATGTAAAGCATATTCAAATGAGAATTTAAAAAAAAAATCAAACATAAAACATTTTCAAGCATGTAAAACCTCTATTCTCTCTTTATATTCAATTGCATTACTTCAAGTAGCTAATGTAATGTAAAACATATTACATTCCTGATTCTACGAGCTCCATTTGTGTCACGCCCCTCAAGGGAAGCCCAAACAAGTCCATGTTAAGTCTTAAATTCTTAGGGCATGTTCGTTTGCTCTGACGTTTGACCTCTGAAAGTGCAATAATTACATTAAGATGTATATTGGTATTGGTGAACTTTTCTTTCCTCTGAACTCTGAATGTAGAGAATATTGTTCTGAATTTTGAATTCTGAAAAAAGTCAAATGTCCAATTTAACCCCATATAAGAGAATTTTTATTTATCTATATAATTCAATAAAGAAACAATATTAAAAATTATTATAATAAATATTACCTAGTATTAATTATTAATAGTAATTAATTAATAATAAATTAATGTTTAATTCATTAATTATTAATCACTAATTAACTGATGAGGGCGGATTTGGCCCTCCAGTGACATTATGACATCTTGTCACGGTCTAACACAGGCTTAGCCTTGCCTACGCTTGGCAAGCCTACGTTAAGGGGCACCATCGTCATTTTCGCCTGTAAGATTATTGGGAGAATTGATGTCATCTTCAAGTAGACCTCTAAAAGCTTAACGTACTCTTTGAGGAGGGGTGGTCGACCTCCTTGGGTGCCTAACCTTGGCACTCCTAGACCAACTTCCCTTGCGGGACGGCCCTGGTTAATGGCTAGCGTGGCTACCAGGGTTCCTCATGGGTGCACACATGCTCATGGGGACAGTGCACGGACTGGCACTGTGCCGCCGACGCTCAAGGGAGGCTTGGCCTGCGGGCCTTGCTTAAGCATGACCCTTCACCTCGTCAGCCCTTTTGCCCAAGCTGATCGAGCTATCCCGTTGCCCATAGCACACGAGTGTGCTCCAACCCAAGCGGCTGTCCAATCATCTTGGCACATAGGTGCCCATCATCATCGGCATATAGGAGACCCATTCATATCGGTGCTAAGCCACCTCTTCAGCGCGTAGTCGCCTTGAATTACGGTCGTCCCCTTTTAGCACGCAAGTGGCGCCTCCCATGGACCGGCCAGAGCTAGCAGAGTGCCCCGACCATGCGACTTGAGGTCATGGCCCAGCGCTACCGACCATTGGGGAGCCATCCCTTCGGGCAACTCCTAGCCTCCTAGCATACAAAGGCTTGTCTTGGCCTGCCTTGGCCTGGACGCCGCACGGGTTTCTTCCGCTGTAGAACTACCCCCGTGGCAACCTGGAAATTCATGACAGTAAGTGCAGCCACTTGACAACCAGGCAGCTCGGGGCTTGCCACCAGGCAGCCCACCACCAAGGAGCTTCACTTCAGCCCCTGGGTCACAGGCCACTTGGGGGCAAACGTCACTGACGAGGTACTTAGCCAAATATTGGTACATCACAAAAATACTGATACGTGACAAGAACCGGTTACATCACTAATAATTAATTAACTAATAATAATAATAATTAATTATTACTTAATTATGAATAATTATTATTAATTAATTAAAGAAATATTATTACTAATTAACAATTAATTAGTAATTAATACTTAATATTAATAATTAATAATTAATTCAATAACTATTCATCACTAATTATTAATTAATTCAATAATTATTCATCACTAATAATTAATTAATCAATAATTATTACAATATAATAATATTATGGGGAAAATAAAATATTGGTGGTGGGTCCGATGGGTCTTCATATGAGATGTTATAAGTTAATTGAGCATTAGAGGGGCAATATGGGTAAAATCTATTAAAATAATGGCCTGAGTCATTTGTACTTTAGCTATAATTAGACTTTAGTGTTAAGAGCAACCGAACACCTCTTTAGCGTTGAAAGTGGTACGGAACCACTTCAGCATAAGAGATCAAAGGCATCGAACAGGGCCTTAGTTTTCATACAAAAAATAATGATTTTATAGTTTTAATTGCTTTTTAAGAAATTTTATTAGGATGAATGAATGAACAACATTACCAACTTGTTTGGGATTGCCTCGAGGGGCATGGCATGAGGGCCCAGCCGTTACGTTAAAAAAAAAAGCAAACAAGTGTCAAATTTTCAAAAGGCACACGCCTAGGCACACCAGGGGTGCACCTTTTGAAAGGGCTATGGCTAGGACCTAGGCGAGGTGCATACCCTGAAATGCGCCTCGCCTGTGCACCTAGGCGCGCCTTTTAAATCACTGATTGGATTGGGTTGGATGGAACCAATATCTAGTCCATTGATAGAAGATAAAAAATATAGGTGTCAATGGACTAGGTTTGGATTAGAATTAATCTAAATTAAAACAAATTTGAACAATCTAGACATTGAATTGGACTAGTCCAAAATGGTCCAAAATATACATTCGATTGGATTGGACCTAGTCCATTTGTAATGGACTCACATTGGACCGGATCAGATTGGACCAAATCCAGTCTAATTGACGCCCCTAACCACAACGAATTTATATA